AAGTGGAGAAGACTGCAGTGCTTGCATACTGCCCGCGCCCCAAGACGAAAAAGGAGGTGAGATGGTTTCTGATGCTACTACCAGCGGTTCGTGCCTGGATTCACGGACCTGACCAGCCCTTTAACTGATCTCACCCGCAGGGGTGCCCCAGATCTGGTCCAGTGGACGGAGCAGTGCCAGGCGGCGTTTGTGCAGGGGAAACGGGCTCTCTGTGGAGAGCCACTGCTGTTCACGGAAGCTAATGGACCATGAGTCACGGTACAGTACCGTGGAGAAGGAGTGCCTGGTGATCCGGTGGGCGGTCGACTCCCTTCGCTGCTACCTCCTGGAACGCCCATGCACCCTCTGCTTCAGGCACGTGCAGAGGGGGGGCGGGAGGGGCTTGAGCACCCGCCCCTTTCCTGATGGGTGCCCAAAGTGGCCTTATATTGAGGCAAGTTTTTTTTTTATTAATTTTTTTTTATGTGTGTGCGTGCAGAGTCCTGTTTGTGCCCCTCAACAATGATACTTAACTATTAATCACATTTTTACTAAATAAAAGGATCTGGCTTGCATCAGTCACATGATCATCATTAACCAATGATCATCCTTGACGGCAAAGCGCTCTGGTTACGAGCCGGGAACAAGCTCACAAAGAGCACGCACATTTTTTCTGCCTGGGCGGCCTGGAGCTGTAGGAGAAACACAACTCAAAGATACAGACTAATGCTGGGCTTACACTGTGTGATTTTGAGCCAATTTTTCATTAGCAATTTAGCAAAGTTGATGGTGGTGGTTTGCGTGTCTGTGTGAGTGAAAGACGGAGAGGGAGAGCGAGCGACAGAATTTCTGTTATAACCTTCATTTTATGGACGCACAGTGTGAGCACTCAGGTCATATCAGAGCATTGGGCCGCATAGTGTGAGACACAGAGAGACAAACCCCAAAGAAACAGACACGCACATGCACACACAAAGCCCAGAGAGAACAGCCCAAATTTTATCATCAACAAAGTACAATGTGCAATAGTGACTTCAACAACACTTATGGTTTAGTGTTATTAACCATGATAGTTGCAGGTACAAAAGACTCTATGTCTCCACTGTAGGCACTTTATACTGACGACCAGCTGAAAATCATTAAAGAGAGGATGGTCTGAACACAAAAGGACAGAGGCTGCCTTCCTCAGCACCTGCCTGTTATTAAAGTCCACAAGTTGGACCTGAGACTTCCCTAAAATTTGACCAGCCAGTTTAACCAGATTACTTGTCTTATTGTTCAAAGACACAATAACATACCAAGCAATGAACAAAACATTAAAACAGATTCAATCAAACTTTTATAAAAGAGGGTCATCGTTTCAGTTAAAACATTTAAATCTCTCAATCTCCTTAAAAAGTACAGTTGTTGTTGAACCTTTGTCACTGTAGCAGCACGATGTGACTCAAAGGACAGAGCCTTATTGAGAACAACCCCCTAATACTTACAAGTGTCCACCAGTTCAGTGGCTGCACCATTTACTACTGTTAATGCAGGTTGGGAGGGATTTCTTCCTGAAGTCATTATAACCATGTCCTTAGTTTTCAAGCTGTTGATCTTTAAGAATCACACAAAGAAGCAAACTCATCCACAACAGGCCGATACGAATAGTCTACACTATGAAGGAGACTTACAATGACTGTGTCATCTGCATATATAATGAAATGCCTGTTAGCCTGTGTACTGTGAAAATTGTTAGTGTACACAATATATAGTAGGGGAGAGAGACAACAACTCTGCAGTGAACCAGTAGAAGAATTCAGGTGTTTGGAAAAACATCCGTTTACTCCCACACTGAGATCTGTCAGTTAAAAAGTCTAAAATCCAACCGACAAGCTTAAAATCAAGTTTAAACTGGTTAAGAAGTTTATCCGCTAAAAGATGTCGCTGGATTAAAAGCTGAAGAAAAAAAAAATCAATAAATCAATATAAAATCAATAAAAATCAATAAATAGGTGCCGAGCATGAGCTTTGGCATATACTATATGTATGTATGTATGTATGTATGTATGTATGTATGTATGTATATATATATATATATACATATATATATATATATATATATAATGTTCTTCCTCTACACCCCCCCCAATTTTTGCACATGTCGAGTGTCAGGCTACATTTCACTGTGTGTTATACTTGTATAACTATGCATGTGACAAATAAAGAACCTTGAACCTTGAACCTTGGCCCCATCCAGATGGCGATATAGGAAATTAATTAAGGTAACCACAGCATCATCAACACCCCTACAAGGCCTGTATGCAAATAGCAGTGGATCAATAAGCTCTTCTACCTGCTGCAGAATCTCCTTCCTGATAATTTTTCCAAAGGACTTCATCACTAAAGATGTCAAAGCGACAGGCCTAAAATCATTTAATGATCTAGGTTTAATTTTTTTTTTATTTTTTTTTTTATTTTTTTCTCTGGAACCTTCTGTTGTTGAAGTGATAAAAGGAAGATGTAAGAAAAGATGCTGCATAATTGCTCAGCTCATTATCAAACCCTGGACTTTAATTAGTCTTAGTTGTTTTAAAAAATTAATAAATTAATAAAAACTTCTTTCATGAAAGAACAAATCATGCGGGGCTCTGGTGATCTCTTTTAACAAATCCAATGTTTTACTAAAATTATAATTATCATTAAATCTCAAATAAAAATTATTCAGCTCATTGGCCAACTGATGGTCTGAACTAAAAACTTATCTTAAACTTATCTTAGTACAGTCACTGTGACAGTGACCAGCCGTGTGTTTCATGCCTGCCCAGGCAACCCCTAAGCTGTTGCTACCCATCTCAGCCTCTACCTTATTCTTGTATTTTATTTTGGCTTTTTTTATTATTATTATTTTGGATCTGATCTCCTTCCTAATTTTTCTTACCTTAGAGATACTCCCTTCAACAAAAGCTCTGGGAATGTACTATCCCCTACTCTATTACACCATTGCTACCACCCTGAACGACTGACAAAAGGCAAGATTAATGTGTCCTTTCAAAACTTACACCAAATTTTGACCCTAGCTTTCAGCAGAAATAATGAGTTATCAGACTAGGCAATACTTTTCCAATCTGCTATTACTCAATTGTAATGATAAGCCTGTACAAACTTTGATCAACAATTTCTGAGAAACTCCAAAAAGCCTGTATGCTACCAACAACCAGCTGAAATTAAAAGTCATTTAACTTTCTTCATTATTCTTTTGTTGTGTTTAAACTCCAAAAGGTCATCTCACCCATATGTAAATGGCTAAATCCACTGAGTTGATGCCAGATGGTTAGGTGATTCAGCATTTCAATGAGGAGTTGAACAGGTGCAGCAAATGGAATGGCCTGAGAGTGTATATGCAAATTAGATAGATAGCTAGATAGATAGATAGATAGATAGATAGATAGATAGATAGATAGATAGATAGATAGATAGATAGATAGATAGATAGATAGATAG